AAGAAGCTCTGCTATATTCAGGCAAAAGAAACTAATGGTTAACTAACCAATAAATATTAAAACCTATAATTTAGTTCTCCATAAATATTGTTTTTTTTAAGCTTATAGCCTTGGAGTGTTTTTCTGATTTTTCTTTCTTCACTGTGCTTGTATCTGTGGGTCAGGGTGGCGAGCTGCTGCAAACAATTGCCCTTACGGGGATAAATAAAGCTGACAGTTTTGAATTGAAACTTACCAGATAACCCTCAGCCTCGCCTTCCAGTTCCTCTCCGTGTTCGTTGAGGATTGTGGGCTCTACCCCGAAGAAAGGAAAGGTCTGAAATATGAGGTGTGGATTGAATGTGAGATAAAGGCATTCTGTCATTAAACAGCTCCTGTACGGCTACAACGTTTCTTTAACACCTTAAGACTGGATAATAATCTGCACAAAGAAAGGCCAAAAATGAAAAATAAATCCTGCATTGGTTTAGTTTAAAATTACTGAGGTCCAACCTTTCCTTACCAGCATGATCTGTATTGATGAAACTCACTGGAGGAGATATATACGTGTGTTTAAGATTTACATAACAATGTCAGAAGGATATGTTGTCACTTACAGCAGAGCCTGGTTTCAGTGGCGTGGCAGCAGGCAGCGGAGTCAAAACATGACCTCCCTGTAGAGAAATATGATGTTTAAAGGTGCAGGAAAGTCATCTTATAGTGTTAATTATGTATTTGTCTTGTATTGAACTTTATGAATTTAGTTTCTTTGCCTAAATGTTATTATTTTCTATTTTTACTGGGAGAAATTACTACTTTGATCAATCACTGAATTAAGCAGTTTCACCTTAAAAATCTGTGTTTCTCTGACTTTATTTGGTGGACAAAGGACGTCCCTGAGGGGCTGCAAGCCGAGCTGCTGCTACCGTTAGCTCAACTTGTTTCTCCAATAACTTAAGATCCAGACGTTCGATGACTAAAAACCTTCATCCGACTAAAATATACACTTAAAAACGACCAAGATCTGAAAAGTGAATGGTAAAAATGTGGCTTTAAACTGGATATAAAGTCAATTTATGACTTTATCTGGCAAACAACCACATTGCTGATGCATGTGCAAAGGGGATATGACGCATTTGACACCATTACCTGACTAGAAATACAGATTTCTCTGGGTTTGAACTTTGTTGGAAACATTTGGGATAATGTAAGAACTGAAACTTATTCAAACCTTCCACACAGGATTCTAAAATATAACTTAATACCAGCTGAGATGTGTGTTAATTGCCGGCACTTACGGTCTCTGTCTGCCAAAAAGTGTCGACCACAGGACATCTGCCCTGACCGACGGCCTCGTGGTACCACTGCCACGCCTCTGGGTTGATCGGCTCACCAACAGTACCCAGAATCCTCAGGCTGGAGAGGTCATACCTGGCAGAGACAAGTGAGAAAATGTCCTTCAGATATCTTTATTATTACATGGTGCTAATCACTGCTGTAGTTTTTTATGCCTCTGTGTCTCTATTTGTTGTGTGAATTGTTGGTTGTTTTGTCATATATGTGGTTTTTTTGTATGCAGGTTGTGGGGTTGTCCGATGAATGTTTCTTGTTCTCAAGTTTTTGGTGAACAATACATCTGGATCTCAATGAGACTAACTGATTGAATAATGTTAAATATGAATCTATGATGCTTAATATATTCCATGAGTTACACTTTTCTTTTCTTGAAGCAATAGTTCAGATATTTTGGCTAATAGTTATTTGCGTCCTTAAGCTTTTGGTTAGCTTAGCACCTCTAAAGCTCACAAATTACACCATCTTATATCTCATTTGTTTAATCTGCACAAAAACCGATGTGGAAAAACGTCAAGCTGTGGTTTTACAGGTGCATTGTGAGATAGAGAGCTCGGACATCTGGAGGGAGCTTCGGAGAAGAGCTGCTGTTCCTGGTGGTTCAGCCATCCTTCTTTGGAGGTTTTATGTGCACGTCCAACTGAGAGGAGACTCCGGGGTAGACCTAGAACTTGCTGGAGGGATTATATCTAGTTTGGGAGCTCCTCAGGATCTCCAAAGAGGAGCTGCAGGGTGTTTCTGGGGAGAGAGAGACGTCCACCGGATAAGCCGGCGATAACAGATAGATGGATGTGTGCTGCCTCACTCTCAAGATGAGGTTCAGATGGTTTCTGCTTCTTACATTGGGAGTGAGTGTTGACAGAGTAAGAAATTGAGTTTTCCTGGCTTTTGTTTTTGACAGATAATTCAATATTAAGCTGAAGGATTTCTTGTGAATTTAGTGACACAATTCACACAGTATCGCTCCCATCATTATTAATACAGTTTGGTTTCTTCGCCTCACCACTGAGGAGTCTGTTATGTAAGAAATGAGAACTGAGAAGGCGGTTTTTTAAAATTAAAGGTGGAAATTTCCATATGAAAGAGGGGAAACTGTGTTGTAAAAATACACTCGGGCCAACTGTCAGGTTGCTGCTGCAGCTTCTGAAAAATATGTTTCTGCTGTGAGGACGCAGGCTCTTACTTCTGCAGCGGTTCCCGTCCGTACTTCATCAGCAGGCGGATGGCTGTAGGAGCTGTGTAGAACTTGGTCACTTTGTACTTCTCAATAATCTCCCAGAAGCGGCCGACATGAGGGTGGACTGGAATACCTTCAAACTGGAGGAAACATATAAACACACACACATCTCTATGAAGAAAAACACACTCCTGTTAGGGGCTGCTGTGCTAAAATCTGTCTTCTAATGGCACTATGCTGATTGTTCATGAAAAAGTCTCTTTCAGACTCACCAGGACACTTGTGGCGCCGTTTGCAAGGGGGCCGTAGGTGATGTAGGAGTGGCCGGTGATCCAGCCGATGTCTGCGGTGCACCAGTAGACGTCGTCATGGTGATGATCAAAAACGTACTTAAAGGTGAGCGACGTGTAGAGCAGATACCCGGCAACAGTGTGGAGAACACCCTGTACCGTACACAAGGACAGAAGCATGAATGAGGAGATAATTGGTGAACACAAAGACAGCAAACAGGCAAAAATAAGGGGAGGGGATGGGGGCCTCTCGATGCTGATAGAGGAGACATGTATGCAGGCGTGTGTGTGTGTGAGACAAAGACAGAGATGATTTCATGCCATCTGAAGCTTTGAACCCTATGTTTTGAGTAATAATAACATATAAAGCACACAAAATACATAGAGTTGAACTGTCGAGGAGTGATTGGCACTTCATGTGTCGGACGCAACAAACTTCCACTAAAAGATGAAGAGAATTCAGATAGAAGAATTTATGTTCTTTTTAATTACACCCCACATAAAAAAAACATAAAAACAATTAGGTAATCAGCAGCAATGTTGAAGACAGTGGGGGCAAATGATTATATCTAGTGGCATCTAGGAGTGTAATTCACCCTCACTATTCAAGCGTGAAGTAGAAACTATGGTGGCGAACGCCCCTATCTGGCGCCAGTGTTTGGTTTGTCTGTTATGGGCTACTGTTGAAATATGGTGGTTCAACATGGCGGACTCCATGGAAGTCAACCCGTGGCGTCTGTAGATATTCTAAGGTAACAAAAACATGGATGTGGATTTTGTTCATTGTAAAAGAAGCTGAAAATTGTGGCGCTTTTAACTTTAAGTTGTCATTATTTCACAACAGAGATAGCAGATAAAAAACCAAACATGGTAAATACCATTACAGGCTTATCAGAGTAGAAAATAGACACTGGGACTTAAAAGATGCCGTTACACAGAGAAAATTCTAATTTCCTCTGCTACTCTGTATGTTTCTGCTAATAAAACTGGTTTCTGTGTGTCTTACCTTGGGTTTGCCGGTGGAGCCGCTGGTGTAGAGGATAAACAGAGGATCCTCAGCGTCCAGCCACTCAGGTTCACACTCTTCTGGAGAGTCTGTCATCGCCTCGTCCCACCACACATCGCACTCTGAGTCCCAGGGGATCTGAATACACCAGAACAAGGGGGAACAAATGAAACACATAAAAAAACCCTCATTACAACTACTCACATTGTGGGCCACAACACCATGTCAATGTTACTGCGGCCCTTGGAGACATATTCTGAATCCTAAATTGGAATAGAACGTGTCTGTTGCTGATATTTTTTTGTCGTTTTAGCCTCGAGTGAAAAATCACACGATCCTCTGTGGAAAGTGCTGTAGCACAGAAACATGGGCCTTTTTTTTAATGACACAATTGCTTTAAAGTTCACCTGAAGTCTTTGCCATCTGTGTCAGCGCAGTGCCACTTTTGGAGTCTTTTCTTTGGAGACTAACTATTTCTGTCCATCCGACCGCAGGAGTGGACTTGGACCATTTGCACCTTACAGTGTGGGGCCCTAAGAGGCTCTAACATTGCCTCATATTCAAGAAATAGTCTTGTCAAACTATTTATACAGCAGTGCACAACAACAGTGATGGTAATGATGGGCCCTATCTTCTCATAGTTAGAGATATAAGGTATGGCAGTTATTATTATAGTGTATAACATGAATCAATGTACGGTAGCAGTCCTAAAAAAAGTGCCAAATCTGACTTCTTACCTCTAGTATTGCAGCAGCTACTGTTGCTCTTTAATAAATAGATTTCTACACACATTAAAGAATAATACATTTTCTATTTTCCTTGCTCTTGTGTGAAACCAATTTATCTAAAAAATGTCACCTTTTCATGAGCTAAAAAAAAAAAACCCAGAGAAAACTTAAAGTAAAAATCACTAAATTTGGACATTTGGAGACATTTTATCTTCTCATAAGGTGACACTCACTGAGGATTAGAGCTCTGTATCTGTGCATTGTGTGGCTCTGTAGGGAGTTTTTACATCTTTATCTCAGCCTACACTACTCATCACAGATACTGTCACACATTTTGTCATAGTTAAGCTTGAAGAACATAGCCATAAACTAAAAAGTTGGTTAACTTTGAAAACATATCATACCTGTAGTTTATTGCATGCAGCTCCGCTTTTTGTCTTCAGCGCGTGGTGCTTGACGACGAGGCATTTAGTGACACTCGATGACGCTCTGTGAGGAAATTAAAAAATAGGTGTGAGAGGCAGTATAAGTGCCATGTGACAATTTTTGTTCCCCATCTCATATTTTTTTCATATTTTTTATCTGCACTTGTCAATGTTATACAACACCTTCTATCTTCTGATCCTTGAAAAATCCCTCATAAAACGGACAGATGTAACAGAAGTGCAATATAGAGAAAAATAATAATGACAATATTATAAGTACATAATACAATATCATGTTAAGAGTGTATATATAATAATGGTTTCGGGTTAAATTGCTGTAAAGCTTCTGTTTTGTGTGGAAAATGGGAGATTTTGAGTCAAAGAATTGTAGGTTTTGAGGCATGAGGCATATATAATATCCCTATACATATTATTTTGAAATGATACCCCTGAATGCATCTGCACCCCCCCAAGATAATCATTCCCAGCATGCTGTGTTTCGTGTTGCCACGGGGGACGAGCAGCTTGGGCTTCCCTGATGAATCTGAGCGCCCCATGTTGCCCGGCAACCCTGTAATGTGGAAACCAGGCGAGTGTGTATCCTCAACATCCCTGATAACAGCTGACAGTGCTTTGCTGTGTGTGTGTGTGTGTGTGTGTGTGTGTGTCCAGTAACGCATATGTCAAGGGTTGAGTCCCATTACCAGCAGCCAGTGTAAATAAGGGCGGTTGCTGAGAACCGAGAAACTGTCGGCCTTGTCAGCAGGACTTACTTTTCCCTGCACTTCTCCAGAGCCTCATCTGCAATCTGTTTCAGGTTGATCAGCTTCTCTCCTCTATAAACACCATCTGTATGTTACAAAGAGGATGGAGGGAGGGAGAGAGAGAGTGAGGGATGGAAAGGCGGAGAGACATATGATGGGAGTATAAACCAGAAGGTATTTAAGCTCTGAGTCACTTTACAACTTGAAAACCATCTTTACAGCCTCTGAACACCAGAACACATCACCCCCTGGTGCTGCTGCGACCTACCTGCTGTCACCAAAACGCTGCTCTGGGCGTCCATAATCCTCTCACACAGGGACTCAGAGGAGAAACCTGCAAACTGAACATGAGAAAGACAAGACACAAAGTGGAGGAGAAGTTCAAAGAAAATATGTTGTAGCTCTTATGACCTTTAAAGGGTAAATATACTTTATTATAACTTGTAACTTAGTTAAGCTGAAATCTGGGAACACGGCATGATGGGCGACACAGAACAAAACCCAACAGGCCAAGAATCATGATGGCTTATAAATAGTTCAGCCAAATTAGCTAAACCTCTTTATTTGGAGGTAAAACTAAAAATGAGTGCAACCAGATTGTTGGTAATAATCCCTGATTACACAAGAAACCGGCAGGCACAAAACAACAGTAAAAATGTTTTGATATATTTGATCGATTAAGTTTATTTATTTTCCAAAAAATTAAGCAAACAAGTTTTATAAATAAAACCTCTTTTATCCTCCGACTGCTCATTTTTCATGTCAGACGCAATTTTAGCAACATCATCTCTGCAATCAACCTTGTCAGTACACTGTTGTATTACTAGCAGCAGGAATGATGCTACAAAAAAAGAACCCCAAGTTTTATAAACTGGAATTGTACTTGAACCAGTGAATATTGTGTTAACAACAGACCACAGACCAAAAATATGCAAACCCAATAAATGCAGTCACCAGTATAGAGTAAAAGTCCCAAATCAAGCTCTGTGTCTCAGATATGAGTTTAAAGCCAGACTACACAACTCTTGTAAGAAGTGACACATTTTCCATCTCAAAAATGAAAAGTTGACTTCATAAACAATAAAACGCAGCCTCGCTCAGTCCAATACACTCAGTGGTTTTGATGCTACTTGCTCTGGTAGATATCGCTGTGTAACTTACATTACTAAGTCAGTTCACTGACTTTATTACTCTTCTGTACTTGTGCTACTGTCACACTGTGTTCTAGCTTTCATCATTATTCCTTAATTGTAGCTTGTGGCCACAATGGCTGCAGTTCAGCCAAAGTTTACATAGTTTCGCTTTAAAGTGCAAACAGACGGTCTGATGCATGCTGTTCCTTCTCATCACCAAGTATAGAAAAGTCATCTTGTTCAATGCTACATAATGAACGAGACATTTATAATGAATCTTTTACATGATTGTCATTTGCTTTGTCCCCTTGCCAGACGCTTGTCTCCTGGCGAAGGTTAAAAGTTCACAGAGTATAACGTTTCAGTGTTGATGACAGCATTATAAATCAGGTCACTGACGAATCTGGACTCAGCAAAATGTCACTGCATGAGTGGCTGCTTTGGCTGTCCTGCCTAGCTCCCTTTATGATTTAATTTTCATACCAAGCTAATTTATGATTAATATTAACAGTCACATGAGAATCCAAGAGGCTGGCGCTATCCCAGAGATCCTACTGTTGCTAAGTAATGTTCATCAAAAAATATGATAAAATCTCAGAGTTGGAACATTTACAACAGTGACCATGCACAGACAAGGTCGCTCACTCTTAAGTCTGCCAAAAATAGGCCTTGCAAGTCATAAAAGAAACCCACCGTGGAGCAGCCTGAAGTTATTTTTGACAGGGATACTAACCTTCGCACAGATGGGGAAGGTTGAAAAGCGAAAATAGTGTTGGCTTGCTTGCCAAACTGCACTGACTCTGAAGCCTTCCCAAGCTGGATACAGCCAGTAAATGTCTGACCTATATATTGATTGCAGGTGCTGCCAATGCCGTGTTCACACAGAGAACAGCTGATAACTACAGGAGCAGAGCAGTTTGGACTAACAGAAGCAAGAGCTCAGGTTCAGCTGATGTTTTCTCCTGGAAATGGGACCAAAGCAGTAAACACTACCTAAACTGAACTGTCTGCAAGAATTCTCACAGATGACAACAAGTGTGAGAAAGTAATAAAATAAAATCTTGTATACTTTCATTAACATACAGACATTAAATGATAGTACATGTAGCAAATTCCCACTCATCTTCTTCTGCAAAATGGTGCGAAACAAACATTATCTGCTTACCACAATGGAGTGAACAGCTCCTATCCTTGCACAGGCCAACATAATGTAGACCAGCTCTGGGATCATGGGAAGGTAGATAGACACTCTGTCTCCCTTCTTTACACCTAGAACAAGGAAACAACCAGACTTTAAGTTTTCATCTGTTTGACAACTCAAACAAACATTAGCATTGTAGCTTTAGGAAGAGTTTCAGCATGCTGGCTATAGCACAGATGCTGCACTGTATGTCTGATGTGCAACAACTTCCCTTTTACCCTAACCCTAACCCTAAGCCGGAGGACCAATTCATCAACTAAATAAAAGATAAATGCATATGGAGCCAGAGTGTGCAGCACTTTTTTCCTACTCTCATACTGGGCATAAAGCCATATCTGGTGAGTTGGCATGCTGGTTATGGGCCAAATGACAATGCCAATATTTGTCCCTGTAATTTCACAATGACTTTAGATGATAGTTTTGTACCTATAAACTTGTATACTTGAGATATAGACTACTGCTGACATCGAAATAAAACTGCTGTGATAATGGATTTTTAAGATTTTGCCAAGACAAACAAGATGGTTCAACATTATGCCCTTTGCCCCTCATGAATCCATGATTTTGGCATGTGTTCGCTTTGTTCTTGTTTTACTCAAACTGTTGCTACAGGTAATTTCTAAGGAATAAGTCATCTCTATTTTTAGCTGCTAGTCAATTAATATTGTTAAGATGTTAGATTTTAGTTTCTCACCCATTTGCTTGAGGACATTAGCACAGCGGCAAACCTGGCTCAGCAGCTGGCGGTAGGTGATGACCGTGTGGTGGTCAGGAGAGTTCCCCTCCCTGAGAAGACGACATACAAGAGGAAAAACACAACTCAAATCAGTTACTGTGAAGCTCAGATTGTATGAAGCTCTCTGTGTTTGTCTTGGTTACATAGAGTTAAGCAGGGGTTTGGCTTTTTAAAAAAAACATACTTTCATTAAGCACGTAGAAACCCTTCAGAATACACTATTGGAGTCCCTGTGAGTTCTGTGAGTTCACAGGGGAGATAACCTGTTCCAGTTGTTGCTGGGTCTATATTGGGTTTGGATGTTTGTCAGGACGGTTATTTGAAAGAGTATGTGGCACAATGTTTCAGCACACAGCATGGTAGCCAGCCTTTGGTACAGGACAGAAGCCAAAACACTGCAACAACCATTAAACCTTATAGCCAGGCTGATGATGGTGAAATAAACGATTACAGTGACGAAACTCAGCAAACTCTTAAATGCAACCATTATTGATAAAGTATTCTAGATAATGTTGGACCATCTCAGCATGTGAAAAAGCCCACGTATTTGATTGTCTTTACCTATAAATTGCGTCTATTGGATAATAGTAAACCCAATCAAATGTGCCGTTCCACAGGGCTCAATCCTGGGAACTCTTTAATTCAACTGCTAATTGCTTCTGTCAGCTCCGAATGTGGATTTAGCAAAGTAAGGAATGGATGTTTATTTAAATAAAGGAAGAAACTAGATTTTTTTTGTATAATAGTAATTGAAAATCATGTTCATCGTTATTGTCTGCAGCTGAAAACCTGAAAAAGTGAGAAATGTACAGCGAAGTAGCCTATAACCACATGCATGAATCAGAGAATTCAGGTACAAACAAAATGTAGGAAAAACTAATCCACTTCTTTATCTCTGGTAGGGTGGACTGTTGTAATAGGATTTTCTCAGGTCTTTCTAAAAAAGCTCTTTGACAGCTGCCACTCATTCAGAACGCTGCTGCTTAAAATCTATAGAACAAGAAAGTTGAGCAAATTACTCCATTTGTCAAATCTCTGCACCGTCTGTCAAATAAGTTCGAACTAATACAACTCACCAAATGATTTATGAGCAAAATACTTCCGCTACAGTCTCAACCCACCAGTCCTCTGAGGTCGTCTGCCATGAAATCCAAACACTGTGAAGCTGCTTTTAGCTGCTGTGCTTTAGATATCTTGAACGAATTCCAGAATCTCAGACTGCACTTAATATTTCTGGATCAAAGCTGGGAATGTACTGAATGTTCAACATTGCCTTTGGACTTTGTGCAGGTTTTGTACATGCACCAGATTTTTATTTTTTATTTATTGTGCTTTTTTCATTTTCCTCACTTTGTTTTTCTTTTAGTCTGCGTTTGTAGTCTTTTTAAGTCATTTACTCTACTGTTTCAGTCTCAGTGTCTTACATAATGCACTCAACCTCTGTGGGTCCATACAAACAGTTTCCTTTTCTTTAAAAGGGAAACAGAAAATCACGCTGAGACAAACCTAGGACTGAAATATCTTGTTTTGTCTGCAACTTAACAGTTAACAGTTACAATAACAACAGTTATAGTAGTGAATGCATATGGCCTGTTGCTACTACCTTTAACAATTCAAAAGGGCATTTTGGAGCTGCTGATAAATGGCCTCTACGACTCAGACTGTTCCTGAATATTCAATAGTTTGATGGAGGATGTTTATCTTTTTATTACACAGAATATGTTACTGAGATGAGGCTAAAACCATTTCTGACATTTCTTATTGAAAGAATTTCCCCAGTGGGGAAGTATATATTCTTCTTCTTCTAAAGGCTTTAAGAAAGCTAAAAACAGTGTTTGTTCAAAGAGTGACACTTAAGCCACGGGACACCTGTCATCACGGAAAATTGAGACAATCTCAAACCAAAAGCACGTTTCTCTCTCTCAAATCAAAGTTGTCTAGAAAGACATAATGGAAGGGATTACTTTTAATGGCTCTTATTGGTTCGATTTGATAATTTAATTTAATTCCTTAAACATTGTGCTTTAGTCATATCTGGTATCTGGCTGCCTGACACAAGTAGCTGCTAATAATGGATGCAGTAAATAAAAGGACTCATATTTGACTTTTAAATACTCTTTGCATATTGTATAACATGTCCTACCATTTGAAATGCTGTTTGGACAAGGCGTGAGCGAAAGTCATATAATGTTAGCAGGTCATAAGAAAGCATCTGGGTACAGATAACTTGAATATAAACCCGGTAATAACACAGCTGGCAGGCTATATCCTAGTCACATGCTGTGCTGGAACTGGCGTGGCAAACAGATATATTACACAAGTACTTTGATGTAATGCAAACAGTGTTAAGACACTTGTGTTGATGATGGCTGGTCTCCACTGCGCCCAGTTCCATTGAACCCTTATTACTGCTGAGCTTATACCCCTATTTCTTGTTTGCTGTGCTTCGTTGGTAACAGAGCAAATACGTGCCATAATGCAAAGTGAAAACAACATAAAGTAGAGCCTTTATGATGACTTGTGGAGGGCGGGAGGCTTTACTGTAAACAGTAACCATAAGTTAAAAAGTAATTTGAGGAGTTTAGTGGAAGTCAGAAATGAGAGTTCAGTGAGAAAATATAGCCTGTGAAAACAAACCATTAGGCTCTTATTGGAAGATCCTGGCAAGATTTAAACAGAAGTAGGCTTTTGTACTTTAATAAAAACACCAAAAACTTCTCATTTTTTACATATTGTACACACATTAGATAAATTCTGGGAAGATTTAGCAACAAATGATGTTAAATGTTGATTTAGTTGAAACACTGAAGCACTGACACTATGTCGTGCTAGCTGAGGTTTGCTTTCGTGCACAGGGGTCAGCACAGGGGGCACAACAGTTGCTATTGACTGGAATACCTAGTATAACTCCAGGCGGTTTATCCCATCAAAGCCGTCATTCATCCCTGACAGATGTCGTTGCTTACCAGTAATAGGCAACTTTTTCACCGAGATTCCTCTCCTTCACCAGCCTGTCCAGAACATTATAGCACATGTTGGTTTTGGCCCCTTCCATGCATTTGACATAGACGTTCCCTTTTGTCATGTCAAAGTTGTACTGCATCATTGGTCCTGTTGCTGGCTTCTTCCAAAAGAACTCATCAGCAGTCTCTTTCCAGAAAGCTGAAACAGAGTCATGTGACAAGTGTTACAGGCTGCAGACAGAGCAGATAAACACAGAGAGAGATAGTGTATACAGACAGGCTCAGAGGGAAATGCAAGGAAACACTGCAAGCACTGCACTAAAAATACAGACGTCGTTTGACCTACCTTCTGGATTCTCAAGAGATTTCCTGTACAGTGCCAGATAGGAGTTAAAATCAGGCACGTGAGCATCCCTCTTCATTTCATCAGCAGGGTAGTACATTTTGTCCTGGCTTTCAGGCACAACCATCATGGAAGGACAGATGTCGACGGGGCCTATATCATCTGAGAGTCAGAATATGGGTTAATCTGGAGTCACTGCTGATCTGTCTGGATCCTCCTGGGTAAAGTAAGAACACTACAAGGCCTCCTGGACTGAAGCAACACAATTCAGCATGCATAAGACCCACCTCTAATCCCTGAGCTGCAGACTCTCTCCAAGTCTGTTTAGGGCCAGGGCAGCCAATCGGCTTACATGGTGCAGCACTCCCACTTTTTCATTGGACAAGCCCTCCCTGGCCTGTCATGGCATTATTTTTCTAAGCAAGTAGGTGGAGGAGGAGGAGGAGATGTGCAGCTTGATGAATGCTTGGGATTCAGGCAGGCAGTGGGAGGTTTTATTTGGCAGGGAGGGGTGATGATTGCTCGGAAAGAGAGAGAGAGAGAGAGAGAGAGAGAGAGAGAAAGCAAATGAGATTTAGTTTACTGATACCAAGTAAACAAAATATTTGATCTTCAAGGCATTGTCACTGCATGCTCTTACAATAATACCTTTTTTAAATGCCACATGTAACCCTTGTTTAACCTTTATTTTTTGACTTGGCTTACTTATCACACTGTACTACTTCTACCACTTTTTTCTCTTTTTACATTTTTTTGTGGGTGTCAGATTTTGGTTTTATCAGATTGTGTTTCACCAATACAAAGAAAGCATAACAAAAAAAGATACATTTCACAAAAGTAGACAAAAACTAACACATATAATGCTTAAATCTTTGAAAACTGCAACTTATCTATATTCTGCTAACTGCAATACAAATGCAAACCTGTTTATTTGTTAATGTTAATTAACATGTACTGTTTATCCCTCACACTTTAGATTTTACCCTTGCTTTGCTGAGAAGCACTTGTTGTTTTTGAAAGTGTCAAATAAAAAAAAAAAGCACCATTTAAATTATTATCACATTTCATAAATGTGTAATAATGTGTCACTGAAGTAGTTTCTCCTCTTATGATTTGTAACATTTGTCCCAAGTACACGCTGGTAAACACGCAAACATCCAGGTTACGTAACATAGCTCAGAGGAAACATCCAAATGGCTGTTGGCATCAATTCTTCAATCTGGGATCGATTACGTTACGTCGCGACGGACTGGCCGACGTAACGTCTCACGTCAGACGCTGCTAATCGAGCCGGAGCGCTGCTTGTCCCGTCCTTTTGCTAACGCGCCGGGACCAAACTTCAACCCCCGAAACATGTTTCTGTCCGCTGCTGCTCGCTCTGCAGTGTCGCAGACGGTAAGATTGTGTTGCTCTTTATGACTCCGGGTGATAATATAAATGCTCCTGTCGGTATTTTGGAGAGAAAGTCGCTGTGACTCCTTACAAGGGCAACGGAGGCCGCGGAGCTAACGTTAGCGTGCTATCTGCTTCAGCTCTCTGCTGTCAAACGATTACAAGGTGAACTCAGGACAAAATCAACCATATAAAGGACAAAACATACTCTACTGAACTGAATTAAGTATTAGAATGTACTGTTATATCCTGTGCTGTTAAACATCGCGTTAACTACCACTTTGCATTTAAATAGAGCCACTTTTGTTGTTGCACGCTTGATGTTGTAGCTGTGTGTTGTAGTTGTACAACACGATAAAGCATTGGTGTTTGAATCACAGACTGCAATAAGCAACATCAGAAAGCCTTCTTTACATTCTGCATTTGTTCTGGGGGGCTTGGAGGTTGGCTTTGATTATATAACACAAGATGCCATCAGTAAAGGTGGTTAACAGCCTTAAATAACGTTATTATTATCCAGTATTTCTTGTAATGGGTGTAAATCAAAGCATCAAAGATATGTCTAACTGCTGCTAATGCACAAGCTGTATTTCTACCCGTGAAGTGTGTAAATGTTGAAGAGAACTGACATATTTGTGGGATTGTTTGCATCATTTATTCGGACATACACGTTTAAAGACCAATACAAACCTGCTCGAGCTATGTGAGTGTAAATGATGTGATGATTCAAGCTTCTTACAGTTTAATAGTTAAATACCAGGACGAGAACAGACAGAACAATCGACAGCCTCTAAAATATAAATATCTGTCTCCATATTCAAGTATTATTCCTAATTATATAAAATGAAAGACGTATTATCTTTGAGGTAGACATTGATAACATCACAGTCCTTTAAGATAAAACAATACAATACACATCCCTCAAAGGCATTTCTCTTTGTAAGTTCAAGTATCAATTCACACACTTCCATTTGTTTTATCTCTCTTTTTTTCTGTGTTTGCAGGCCAGGCAGGTCAGGAATCTGCATCGGTCGGCTGCGCGCGCAGGAGCTGGTGGCATCTTTGTGGTGAGTTACAGTTTCTTTGCCGTAGTTAAGAGATGTGCAGATGTTTGTTTTCTTGTAAGAAGTGGTTATCATGTTGTCAGTGTGCTGCAGCCAGAATCTGTGAGATAAATAGTCCTAAAGTTAATGGGGCTACTGTATTGTAGCTCTTGACTCAGGGACTCCTTTTAAAAGGGAAGCAACACATTTACTGAGCTACCAGGTAGAACAGAAACCAACACTGAAGGACCGCTGACATGGACAATACGATTTTTCTTCTGGTACTCAAAACATTCAGAATGATATGCAGTGTTGTCTAGACTTGTATCACTGTTAATGCTCCTTATTACTGACCTCTATGGTCTTATAAAACTGCAGTCAGCCATAATAATATACACCAATACTTCTTCTCTCAGTCCATTAGTTCTTTTATTTTGTGACCTTAGTGTTCGATATAGTCGAATACTTTGTTGCAATATTTTGTTTACCTTTACAAGTTAATGTATTTAAATGAGTAAAGAAAACAGAACAACAGGAGGAAATCAAAATCATTTTATTCCACATTTGGGAGATTGAGTGTCCGTCTAATTTAATTATTCTCTATATAGTAGACTTTGTTTTTATATTGTTTACACACAATACCAACAAAGCAGTGTTTGTGCTTCCAATTGTACTGAAATAATCCCAAAGGTTTTAGTTTTCCAGGAGATCTTAATTTATCTTGGGAGCAGCCTTTAGAGCCTATTAGAGGCATCCTTTGCAACAAAAACATCTGAGGTGATATTCTCATGTAATGGAAACATGCCATGGTTTCACTGTCTCTTGACAGTAAAGTTTGTTTTTGATCTGTGATTTTGAACCACTCCCCTCCGACCACAAATGTTGTTTTTTTTAAACATCTTTAACACCATTAAATTTAAAGTTGTTCATTTGTTTAATTGTTTGTTGCTCACAAGGGGGCAGTGTGTGCAGAAGCAGAAATAATTGTTATCTGTGTTTTCTATGGTCTGATAGCAGCACCTGTTTCCCCTGTGGGCTTACATGATAGGTTATTCATATTTTACTAGATACTAGTAGATACTGTAAGCCTGTTTCTCACATGAAAGTGGAAGCTGAGTAAAAAATCCTCCATAATAGCAACTTAACATTGATGGCTTCTGAAAAGGACTGATAAATGTCATTTGAAGTTGATTAAGGATAATTATACCTTTGGTGTGAACAATGTTAGCTGTCCTTTAACACTGTGGTTTTGTGTTTTAGCACAGAGATACTCCTGACAACAACCCTGATACTCCTTTTGAGTTCACTGAGGTGAACAAAAAGGTAAGATTTGAGATCTGTGTTGAGCAGTTCATTTAGAGGATACACCTTTTTTTGAATATTCTCTAAAGCCAGTGACAATATTTGATATTTTTCCATCTGTGGCGGTTTACGATTTGCATATTACTCGGGTTCAGTCAGGAGGCAAAACCACTGCGATATGTCAGTTCTCGTGGGAGCAGTAGCCTGGCTGTTTGCACATGAGGCGCATTTCTCAGTGCCGGTCAACTAGCTGCAGAGCATGAGCCGCCGTCTGAACAGCCTAATCAGTGAACGTGGAAAGGAAGAGGGTGGCGCTTCTGCCTCCTGTCTGAAGCCGGCGTCACTGTTACTGATTTTTGCATTCCCTTTCAAATCAGCCTCTGTTTCACTAGATTGAGACAATTTATTTTGTGTTTTATAAATCTAGTTTGTTAGAGATAAAGTACTAATTATTCTTTTTTAAACTGATGTCAATGCATATACCAATATTATCTCTTGAAAATATCTGTGCAGTTAATGTTTTCTTGTGAGCATAATTTTAGATTTTCAATCGGTCTAACTGTTGAAGGACAAAAAAGGAATGCTTCTTATCCTGGGAAACTCCACATTCAGGCTAAAATGTCTTTTTTGTTCCCACTGTAGAGGATTGAGGCCATCATTTCAATGTACCCTGTTGGACACAAGCAAGCAGCCACCATCCCAGTGTTGGATTTAGCCCAGAGGCAACATGGATGGCTCCCTATCTCCGCCATGAACAAGGCACAGTGATTCTTTAACATTTTACAGCTGTGTGATGCCAGTCGGTGTTTTCTAATCCTGAGAAAAATCAGTTGGACAACATTTTTATGAAAGACCATACAAACACCATGTGTTATGCGTCATGTAAGGTTAACCTCAATTAATGTTTGTAATTGTTTTGCTTTCAGGTCGCTGAGGTGCTGGAAATCGCTCCAATGAGAGTGTATGAAGTAGCCACATTCTATACAATGTTCTTGCGTCAGCCCGTGGGAAAGTACTTCATTCAGATCTGCACAACAACACCCTGCATGCTCTGCAACTCGGACAGCATCCTGGAGGCCATCCAAAACAAACTGGGTAGGCGAGCCATTTTTCCATTTTACGGTGGGACGCCAATAAAGGGATGAAAACCCAGATGAAAACAATCAATTTTTATTGTGTATATTTGAGATAAACAGAAATTGGGGACACGTGTAAATATACAGATGTCTCTGCAGTTCAAACAACAGTGAGCTGTATCAGCAAACAAGAAAACATGAAAGACTGAACTCAAGCCAGATGACTGCTAACCAGTCTGCGTGGCATTTAAAGCAACTCTCATATTTGTTGTGCGATTTGTTATAATTCCCATATAGTGTTACAGCTGTGAAATGTCAGGTGATACCGCTTGAGTTAAAAATATGTGTTGTTTCAGTAACATAATCTGCGGCTTGTCAAGAGGAGATTAGCTCAATATAAAGCCTGTCTTCATGTGTTTTTCCACAGGTATCAAGGTTGGAGAGACGACTGCAGACAAGATGTTCACGCTAATAGAAGTGGAATGCCTGGGCGCCTGCGTGAATGCTCCGATGGTCCAGATCAATGACAACTATTATGTGAGTGCTCGACGACTCTGCGCAGATGGTTTTCCTCACTGAACGTTTTGACTAAATTAACGAAATCAAGTTAAAACCCCGGAATGAGTTTTGCAAAGAATGTCTGCGGAGAATACATCTTTATTTTCAGGAGTGCTGCCATCGCAGGTGTGGTACAGTTTTACACTTAGTTAAAACTTGAGAAATGGAAACCCGTGACAGAAAAATAATCTGTTTTAAATTTAATAATACGGCTGGAGTAACAACGTTGTATCATCCATGACCTCAGTTTGGAAAAATATCAACTTAAACATTATCTGAAACTGATTCTGCACTCAGTTGCCATAAGGAATTTAGTTATTGCAAGCTGAGCACAAGTGAATGACCCAATTAAAGTAAATACGACTGGGAAAGGAAGAATTTTTTTTCTTGCACCTCAAACTGCTGAGGTGTGATCATTAGAGGCAGAATAGGTACAATGTGTTAACACCAAGAGTAAAGTACCACTGAGTTTAGCATTTTACGTGAATAATTAGCAGTCAGAAATTCACACCATCAGTCATCAATTACATGCAGTTAGTTGTGTTCAAGATTGTAAACAGGTCAGATTCATTATTTATGCACAATTAACACAGTTGATTATAAAATACAAGGTAACGCAGTAACTAAGCTCCTTTTTAAGTGCTGTTGGAGAAGACTAGAGATTCATCAGGACTTGTAAAACACTAACTTGCGTGATTTGGTTGTGTGTAAAAATAATCTCTTATAACTAAACCTGCTTTGGTTGCCTGGGTTCAAAAGAAATGAAAAGTCTTTCAGCTATTCGTCACAGTTTTAACCTCTTTGGCTCTGACTGTGATAAAAAGCATTAACTTATTTAATGAACACAATAATACTAATAAAGACTGGACTAAGGACAAATACTGACTGATTCCTGACTCTGATTCAGTCCTTTTATCCCCGACAACAGTTATTTAGAAATGTGAAAAGGGTTATTATTTAGTAAATCTAGTAATTTTGATTTTGAGTGTAAAACCTGCTTTCATGTCTGAAGGATTGTTGCTTTTTTAGAATTAGCTATAATCATTATAAGCTCCTTACAACAAGTAGAACTTCAACTATGACCTCCTAACCTCTCCCACTCTCTTCTTAATAATGTAGCACAATACCACTAAAAATGAACACTTCACTGTTTTCTTTCCTCTCATTTATCCTCCGTTTGTCTTGTTTCCAGGAGGACCTCTCTCCTAAAGACATTGAGGACATTATTGATGAACTTAAAGCCGGCAGAGTTCCACCACCTGGGCCCAGGTACGTTCAAAATACCATCGTTAATTTGATGTTACAGCTATAGTATTGTATTGTATTACAGTGCTTGCACTTTATTATGTTATGCATTTATATAGAGGCTCCTTTTTATTTAAAACTTGCTTGGCAATAAATCTGATTCTGATATTTTTGGGGCTTTTTCTGCAGGAACGGGCGTTTTTCATGTGAGCCGGCGGGCGGATTGACTTCTCTGACAGAGCCTCCTAAAGGACCCGGCTTCGGCGTGAGAGCGGACCTGTAGACGGCCGCCCTCAGCCGCTACTTTCAAAAAGCAACTTGTCCCTGAAGATGATATTATGTTTAAGTCAAACATATTGTGTAAATAAATTGTTCATGTACCTCTGCTGTAGGTGTCAGTGTGTCACAGGATTCCAACAAAGGAAAAAGGTAATAAAACTAAAAATAGATTGGTACAGATTATACATTCATATTTGTCCTGTGCTGCTACTAAAGCTTTATTAGGCACTCTTGACAGTAGAACTTGAAATATTAATACATCGGCCTGAAACTGCATTTAGAGAGGGACACCACTTTTGTTGTTTCGGCTCTGCCTCCGCGATGGTTCTGAAATTGAAAGTATGTGCTCGACGTGCTGATTCTCAGGTTTAATTTCGGGGTATTTAAATCCACATGGTATGACCGGTGTAGGAATTACAGACGTATTTGTAGTCCACCTTTTTATCGGGATGAACAGTACAGTACAGCTGTTCGTAGGACAGGCGAGAACTAACGATGGGATAACAGTCAGGCATTAGTTCATGCACAAATCAGCTGATCAGGAGA